CGCACCAACGCAACACTAGGGCTCTGTCTCCTACGAGAATTCCACCTGTCACAACACCACGGAGGCAGAGGCCTCTCACAGTCATTCCGTGCAGGAGGGCGGAGGGAGCAAGAGACGGCAGAATGTTCCCAATTAAATTCCAATTCACTCTCCCAGGTTTCAGGCACGCGTCTCTAGGAACCTGCTTTCCCCGAGTGCTCAAATCGACAAAGGCTCCCACAAGCATATAAACAGAGATACCAGAATCTCCCATTTTAATTTTCTTTCTGGCTACCTGTTGCAATGTTTGAAATTCCGAAGGGAACTATGAAGGCATTTAAAATGAACTTAGTTTCACATGGTCATAGTAAAATCTAAGCAAGAGTTATATGCTAAAAATGTTTATTTCCATCACAGGAATAGCTTTGAAGAATTTCTTAGAAAACTCACAAGTTCTCACTTTCAGCCATTTTTGGCTTTGATTCTTGCTGATACTTCTGCCTGTTATCTGCATGTGACAAATTATGGAGTTTACCTGATTAAAAAGAATAAGCATAAATGGAAAAACACCTTCTCAAAGATCAAACCTGGGGAAGAGGTCCCCTTCCAAACAAGCCATCGCTGGCAGTTTGTACAACATCAAGAAACATAGAAAAGCGTCTTTGGGACGCGTCTGCTCTCCCCACACCAAACTGACTCACCATTTCTGGAGCCGCCATCATTAAAAGCAGAAGTAATCTCCTTTTGCATCATAAAAACAAGCGTGATGGTGAGCAGGTTGCCAAAGGGAGAGTCCAGTCAGGGAATATTTTCACCCAGTCACTCAGCCTTGTCGACTTAATCATCCAGCGGATGGCATTATCGTGGCGTCTGTGTAACCCGATCTGGATGTGGCTATCAAGTAGCCCATGGTGGTATGGCTACAGAGACCAGGAAGGGGAAAAATGTGGCTTCCCTTTAATTAGTAAGTAAGGTGAGCAAACCTTTTCAGAAACTTCACATAAGAAAGTCATTGGAAGCAGGCACTCCTTTTATTTGAAAGAACAGACCCTGCCCAGTGCTGAGGCCATAGCCAGTGAGAGGGGCAGGTGAGTTCTTTGGTGGAGGCTTCCATCCCTCCAGGTGATGAGCCCCAGGTGTAGTCCTGCATCTGCCATGCAGACAAAAGGGAGGGAGGCGACCGTGTTCAGTGTCACGAGTGTCCAGAGACATGTTAGGTTCCATTCTGAAGGTGCTTCTGTGTCCTGAGAAGCTCCTGCACAAGCACCTAGTCTACCAGGAGAGGGCAGACCCCCTCTGCTGTGGGGAAAGCCGGGGTCTCGGTGCAGCAAATGCTCATCGCCTCTGCCGCGAGCCAGGCGTCCAGACATGGAACAGACAGCAGAGGAGAGACAAAGTGTTCACAAGTGCCCTCTGATGATGGTGTGCACTGGGAAGAGACTAGGCTGGTGAAGGGTGGAGAGGGATGGGGACAGAGTGAAGTGTGGCCTCAAGAAGATGTGACCATCTAGCTGAGACTTCAGGGAGGGGGCAAAGTGAGTCTTGTGAGATGAAGAGAGGACATACTGAGCAGGGCACCCAGCCATGCCAAAGGCCTGGAGGAGAGGATGTGCCGGAATGTTTGGGGCCCTGCACCTGGGGGTGGTGATGAGGGGAGGGCAGTAAGAGGCCAGGCCAGCAGGGCTGACACACAGATCACAAGGGCCCAGGTCCGTTGGAGGACTCTGGCTTGGTTTCCGTGGGATCGAAAGCCACGGAGGATCTGAGCGGGACAAAGTTGGGACTGACACACAGTGCAAAGTGCAGGATGGGCTCAAGATGGCCGCCAGGGAGCTGCTGCAGAACATGGCCACAATGCCATGACTTGGACCCAGTCACTGTCACTGCAGACAGTGAGAACTGGCTGGATGGGGACCGATTTTTAAGGTAGAGTTGGCAGGATTTGCCGATGGCAATCAGCATGGAGACATATTCAGGCAATCACTGTTTAATTCAGTCTCATTTTCCCACCTGCCAGTACCAGCCCACACATCTGTCAATGTCTCTTGGATTTAGTATGAGGTATCCCTTAACCTCACACATCCCTCCTCCACCTCTTCCCTAACAACTCTCTTCAGCTCCTGCATGAATATTTGCAGGAAATTCAGCACTTAATTCTTTCTCTGCTATCACCTGTATGTTGCAGGTAATGCTCCCATCTGGAGTTCAATTCCTAGAGGGCATTGTCTGGAACTATCCTGAAACCCCTACGATATCCAGCACAAAGATGAGTGTGTGATAGGGGTTCATATACATTGATGAGCTGATTACCAACCAAGGTGGACAAATAACACAGAATAGACACACAGATAACCAAAAGCAACCATGAGGTCATGTTAACATCTGTGTCAGATGCAGGTGAAAGGTCAAGCCAATTTTTCAGGGGATAGCTGGGAGAGGCCCCATAAGAGTAGCTATAAAGTAGCCTCCCCCCAAAAAATAAATAAATAAAATAAAAATAAAGTAGGCTCCCTTGCTATAAAGTAGCCTCTCAGAAAGTTTACCTACAAATTAATTCTCTTGAGATTAAAATAAAATTTTAAGGGGGCCGGCCTGGTAGTGCACTGGAGAGTGCGCCGCTTGGGAGTGTGGCGGCGCTCCCGCCGAGGGTTCGGATCCCATGTGGAGACCGGTTCCCGCTCACTGGCTGAGCGCGGTGTGGGCGCAACACCGAGGGTTGCGATCCCGTTACTGGTCAGTAAAAAAGACAAAAAGGAAAAGAAATAAAAAAATAAAAAATAAATAAATAAATAAAATTTTAAGGAATCAGAGAAACAAGCATATTTGTGGCTGGTATGTGATATTCATTGAGCTCGTGTCTTGAGGAGCCTTGGTTTAGAGGTAAGAGAACCAGTATCCTATCCTGATAGTCTCCTGGGCGCTGTGCAAAGCTTGGTGACCATTTGCATACAGCTTAGTTATAGGCACTTTGCTTTAATAAGTGAAGGGAGAAACAGTCAATCAGGAAAATCCAGCTTTTTCTTTTCTTTTTTAAAAAAAGATGACTGGTAAGGGGATCTTAACCCTTGACTTGGTGTTGTCAGCACCACGCTCTCCCAAGTGAGCCATGGGCCATCCCTGAAAGGTTATTTCTAACATGATTATAGAATGACCTGAAAGGATATTTTATACCCTTGAGAAGGTCCCAAAAGAAACTCTGAACATTGACTGTTGGACTCAGAAAATGGAGTCAGTGCCATAGAAGCACCCATCTTTTCTAACTCTGCCTCCTAATCCTCAACAAAATATTAGCAAACAGAATACAATGGCACATCGAAAAGATTATACATCATAATCAAGTGGGATTCATCCCAGGGATGCAAGGATGATTCAATATATGCAAATCAATAAATGTGATACACCACATCAACAAAATCAAGGACAAAAATGATATGACCATCTCAATAGATGCAGAAAAAGCATTTGACAAAATTCAACATCCTTCATGATAAAGACTCAGCAAATTAGGTATACAGGGAAAGTACCACAACACAATAAAAGACATATACAGCAAACCCACCACCAATAACATCCTGAATGGGGAAAAACTGAAAGGCTTTCCTTTAAGAACAGGAACAAGGCAAGGATGCTCATTCTGACCACTCCTATTTAACATAGTATTGGAAGTACTAGCCAAAGCAATCAGGCAAGAGAAAGAAATAAAGGGCATTCAAATGGGAAAAGATGAAGTCAAATTGTCCCTGTTTGCAGATGACATTATTCTATATATAGAAAAGCCTAAAGACTCTACCAAGAAACTCTTAGAGCTGATAAACAAATTCAGTAAAGTTGCAGGATACAAAATCAATATGCAAAAATCAGTAGTGTTTTCATACTCCAGCAATGAACTTGCAGCAAAAGAAATCAAGAAAGCAAGCCCTTGGTTAGAGCGTGGTACTGATAACACTAAGGTCAAGGGTTTGGATCGCGGTACCAGCCAGCCACACACACACACACACACACACACACACACACA